GTTTCTGCACACTGGATTTAGAAAAAGAGTTGTCAGCATTCTTAAAATGAGACTGTTTGTTTTACTTTGGTGACTTTGCCTYATACACTGGGTAAATTGAAGATCTCTCATTAACCTTCTATCTCCACCTCCATGGTAATTTCTTACTGATTTGATCTGGCAATCAGTTTGCCCGTATCTGTGCTTGTTGGTGAAGCAGTCAGAAATAAAGTGGCCCTTACCTTGTGAGGAACCTTGTGTCCTTCTACCCTGCAAGTTTTGTTCAGCCCTTGGTGCTTAATGTGCATCTTTGCATGGGGCCAGGCTAAAGAAAACCTCCTGCAACCTGCTGGCCAACTGCCCTAATGACCTTGGACCCTGTAAAGTRTTAAAGCAAGGAGGAGAGAAAATGGCTGAGGAACACGTTGCACATTGTAAGCAATATACAGTAACTGTTTGTACTTTTCAGCAAGTTTGGATGAGGTTTTGTAGTTAGTTCCTCTGGGTTATTCAACCCCTGCATTTGTGTAAAAGGAGAAAAAAGATTTTAGTAAARTTAAGAAAGCTGTAGTGTGGGTGGACCACAGTACACTCAATGTAAGAGCAATCCCCTGTTCTGATGTATGAAAACTGAGTGTAAAATTATGCTTATTTTATTCTGGTATTCCTGAGTATACTCTTAATACACTAGCACTGAATTTATTATTTTTTTAGGAACATAAATCAAATTAAGATATCCGTATATGTCTATGTTGGCCAAGGCTTCAAGTTTTTGCCATGTATCTCTTGAACTAACTTAGTTCCAGAMAAATTACATTTTCTAGTATTCAAATCCTTGTATCTAGTGATCATCTTTATGTGGTGTTGACTTAGGCTAGATCATAATGGAAAAAAAGCTCTTGTCCTGCACTAACAACTTTTTGGTTTTCACTTTTGTTGTGATTTCATTATTGAAAAAAACCTCCAAACAAAGATGAAGTGATACTGAATTATGGTTCAAGTTGATAACTTTTGCAAGATGTGCAAATGAATAGCAATGAAATTCCTATTTAGATGTAGAAGTTTAAAGATCAGGGCCTCCCCCCCYTGAATGTCATGGCACTGTGGCACTGAGCACCATAAAAACTCTGCTCTGAGGGGTTGTATTAATTTCACCTAGCTATAAGCAGCTAAAGGGCACTGATGCTGGTGTGTCCCCAAGATCTCCGTTGTCAATAATGGAGAAAAACAGGTCCCTTTGGGTGGGTGATGATTAAAGATGGAAGAGATGAATTGTACCCCATGTTGCAGAAGCCTCTTTGGTTGTATTAAAGAAGAGAAGCCTGGTAAGCATAGTCCTTCAAGAGCAAGCATCATTACCTTTTCTTCATATTGGATAACTTTTAATCTCTCTTCCCCATGGTCAGATACTACTGGCTCTGTGGGTYTGTTAGCTGTCTGGAAAGCCCTGGCTCTGCTCCTGGTTCCAGCTCCCTGTGTGTTCACAGCACAGTCAGCTCTCATTATTCAATGGATCCTGCATCCTGTAGCCCTTCTATTATAGGATATTGTTATCTGCTTTCTTTTTGCTTTAGAGAAGATGCATTGCCACTGTTGTCATAGAGTTAGGCTTTGAAATAGATTTCACAGAGTCCTTGCATGTCAAGATGAAGACTGCAAATTATCTTCACAGGGAGACAAGTGAAGTTTTAAATATTAATATTGTAAGTTTGTTCTTGAGTTGCCTATGCAGCAGAAGTTTAGTGAGTTTTTGTCAGGTTTAGAATTACCTCACGGGTAAACAAATGTCACTTTTCTTGAAGAATACGTTTATTTAAAAAGCCTTCTGTGGAATCTGTGCTGCACTGGAACTTTTTTCTAGCTATACTTTCCCAGTTAATGATGTATAATGATGACTGAAAAGCTAAAAGATATGTTTATATAACTTCCTCTTGAGCATCTTGAGCTTCATTTGCAAAGTGATCAGGAGGCAAATTATTTGTGGGTTTGTTTTCTCTGAGTTACTTGAGAATTTTTGGTACTAAAAAGGATCCTGTAGCCAGATGGGGGCCAGGCAGGTTTAGCCAGATAAGATTATAGGAGGTGAAATGAAGAAGCTTCTATTTCATCTCTGAGCATTGGGTCAGGTGACTCAGAAGCAAGCAATGATATTTCAGGAAGGAAAATTATTATATCAGGCAGCAGCATGTGTTTCCCAGATTAGGCTTCTTGAGCAAAATTAGATTAAAATTTTCTTTCATCATTCTAATTAAACTATTCTGCCCTTTCCATTGTCTTAGGTCATTGCTGATGAATGACAGAGGAGTGCCTTGACTGCTGCTTCCCAAATATAATTAAATTTGATTGTTTTCAGTGGAAGAGGTTATATATTTGCTGAATTTAAAGCAGGTGAAACAGAAATAGCAACTACATATATTGAAAGTTAAACTTTACACCAGCATATGTTGGATTGGATAGGTTTGAATTTTTAATTTAAACTTCTTGTCTTTTAAATTGACCTTCACTTTCTATAGGTCTTACGTTTAAAATTTAAGATAACCACAAACCACAAGTAACTTCTTAGATTTCCATGCAAGAAGGGACAGGACAAATAATTTTTTAGTCTAACAGGTAACATCCCGGGTCAACTGTACACAACTAGTTGTGTTGTGTGTTGTTTCAGAACATTCCTACTCACTTAGAAAGTAATCTTTGAGTTAACCAGGAAGTTCAGAGTGATGCTGTCTGGAGTGTGAGCTGGCTTTTACTCAGACAGTACTCACTCCCAACACAGAGCARTTACATGAGCTTGACATGAAGGGGAAGGTGTAATTTTGCAGTGCAGACATCCTAGAGCTCACTTTGCTAATGAAAATCAGAGCACTCACCCAGAGTTGTGGTACTTCTCAGAGTTAGATTTTATGCTGTTTAGATTAATTCCTGTCCACAAACGAAGTATAGGAAGGCATATGTAAACGTCTTTTAACAATTTATTCCATGTACCCTCAAAAGACTGGTTGCTGACAGCACTAGCAATGCTGGGGATTTAACATTTGTACTCTGTTCTTGAGCAAGCAGTAACTGCATCTGTCTGCCTGTAATACTGTGTTTGACAAGTGTGGAGTAATCCTTACTGCATTGCAAATATACCTTTAGCATGTTGCCTTATGCACAAGTTGTCTTCTATACTTTGTCCTTGTGTAATATTATTCACTTTGCAGTTCTAGTAATATTCTTACAAACTTACTGTGCATGTGTGGAATTTATCATCCAATATGATCAGTAAAAATATTCACTTGAATTTGAGTGACTTCACTTAAGGGCACAATAAGATAGTTTACCAACTGAATTTGGAAGGGATTGATATAAGCCTTCAGTTGCTACATGGATAAAAAATGTAGGGACAGATTTCATTTCATAGATAATGGTATGTATGGTTGACAATTTCTTCAGCAATCTATTAATGGCCTTTTCTTTTTAAAGAATGAAATTCTATGCCTGATGAACATTGGTTCTTTTCTTCTGTTWCATTTTGCACATTGCTTGATTCTGAGCAGTGCACTGAGTTTTTCACACCTTGCTAACAGCATCTACTTCTTGTTTGTACTTTTTGGTTTGGACAATGACTGTCTTTGCATTCCTTAGGTTGTTAATGTATGATCTATAAGTAAATGGAACATGGCAACCTCCAGACACTCTCTGTATAAACAGGTTTTCTTCATGAGCAGTWGAGTTAATTGATTTTGGCTTCTTTTTTCCTTTTTTTTTTTTTTTTTTTTTTGGTATGGATATTTATTCTTTTTCCTAAGTACACCACTGGTGATTCCAACTGCTGTTCCCTTTCCTGTCTCTATACAATTCTTTTATTGGGCCAATTAATGCACAGCTGCATTAATTAAACCAATGCTTGTTTGCTATCTGCTAATGTGGGACATCTGACKTCAGGGGAAAAAAGGTGCACGAATAAAGAATTTTTTCTGTTTGTTTGCTTCCACAACACAGCCCAACCACAAACTTTTACTGAACTTACTGGGAACCTATTAGGGCTACAGAAGTGATATAGAAAGTTTTTTTAAAATTTGACTAATAAAAGAGTATAAAATGCCCTGTCACACAGAATTTTTCATAGGGAGTATGTTGGTGATTTAAGTAAAAAGAAAGAATAGTTGTAATTATTTTCATCATAGTTTCATTGAATGTTTTGAGAAGTTAGATATTCAAAGAAAGAATGATGGAAATTTTCAAATGTGTAAACTTTAATTGTGAAATGGGTAAGAAGAAAAACTAGCATTGTAAGCCAAGGACTCTACTTAAATATTCTTTGTCTTCCAGTGAAAGGGTTTTCTGGTCATAGTTCATAGGAAAGTGACCCTTTGAATTGGGCTCAACTTATAAAATGTACGGTCCAAATTAGCCTAAAAGTTGAATTGGAAAACTGAGCTAATGGAAAAATTATATATAAGAAAATCAGCAAATTGATTTAAAATATTTTTATACCCACTCCATTATTGCCTACAAAGAAATCTTACATTTCTGCCTCTGCTGTCTCCAGGGATGCAAAATTACCTTATTGTACTTTTTCCCTTTTCTCAAAAGAAGGAAATTTTGCTTTGAACATAAAAGCTCTGCTTTTGTTTTCAACGTTCTATTTAAAAACTCTATCAGTCCCCTAAAAGTCTGTATGGGTTTGTTTTGCTTTTATGTGTGGTACAATACCACTAAAACAATAAAAACATGAAATTTTATACCCAGCAAGGGTTTTTGAAAAGTTCTTTTAGGTACTTTAACTAAATCTAACTTTAACTAAGTTGTTCTGCATTGTTTTTTCTTTCTCAAGAGTCTTTGAATATGTATATATTTTTACTATTTTTCATTACTAGGTTGCATTTTAAACCTTTTCAATAAAATTATAGAATAGAAATTAAAGAAAGAAAGAATGGACCTGTTATTCTGAGACACTGATCTAGGATTTCTTGGAGATGAATTTTAGGAAATAATTCTGGATTTATTCTTTCTTTCATTTTTTTTTTTCCTCTGTTCAGATGGAAGACGTCATAGCCCGCATGCAAGATGAGAAAAATGGGATTCCTATTCGTACAGTGAAAAGTTTTCTTTCCAAGATTCCCAGTGTCTTTTCTGGTAAGAATCAAAGCGAATTTCATACTATTTTAAATTTTTCACTGTGCCTTATATAAGGGAACGCTCTAATGGAAAACACTTTTACATGAGTACTGTTGAGAATTCACAGTCATCTGGTCTGGAGGAGACATTCTCTATCCTTTGAACACTTTAATTATAGAAATTTTTGATGTTTCTGTCAGATTGGAGTGGGTTGACATAGAGATGTTTTTGCCCTGAAAATTAGGTGAAGGGAACGCTTAATTTACCACAAAAAGTTAATTATCTCAAAATGGCAATATTTTTATGGCAGGTCAAATCTGGTTTTTAGCCAGTTTCCATAKCAAGTATGAATTTAGTGTATTGGCCAGTACATGAAGATAAGAAATGTCATAGCAGCAGAACAAAAGAAAATCATCACCACCCTCTGCAACTGATATTGATTAGGGGCTATGACATTTATTACAACATTCCTGATCTSCTTCTATAGCTGGCTGCCTGTGCCTGAAAAGCTAAGGCTGAGATCTCTGTGGTGATTTGCAAGACAGCTGTAAACTTTATAGCTAGTCCAGGTCACTATTACCATAGGCACAAAAATCTGTCAATTTATTAATTAATTAGCATATACTTATTCTGTTAGTTACATAATTTTATTATAACTTTCATATTTATATATGTAGCTACATACTCCAGTGAGTATGCAGTTCCTTTGGAATGCATGCTATTGTTGAACCTAATTTTTCCATACTCTGTAAGAGTGTGTCCTTATACAGAAAGCATTTATAGAAATTTTTACTGTCCAGAACAGGAAGGATTCTATATTTTAATTTTCAACCTTTGGATTGTTTTTGCTAGTGAATAGTTCATAAAAAAGGATACAGTCTTAAGAGTGAACAAAATTGCTGCATGGTTTTAGAAACTACTTGTACAAGAACTAGTCTCTGAAGAATGGACCTTTTTTTTGCCATGAGTTAGTACAGCATAGCATCATATTAAATAATTAATATTAATTGTTAATCTCTACCTTACCTTGTGTACTATGGATTTCAAAATAGACCAAAATGCTTTTTTTTTTTTTTTTTTTTTTAACTGGAATAGGCATCATACTTTTAAAGGTTGGGTTAGAATATATATACAGTTATGCATAGCAGTTACTGTTGTAACAAATTTTCTGTTGATGCATTGACTACATTAGCTTCAGAGGGAAAGAAAAAGCATAGGAGTGTTATTTTTTTTTTCCCTTGTCTGATTTTCTCCCACAAATACCAGGGCAGTAATTTTTGCTGCACATGACTAAAACTCCCACCAGAACAGTATAACTGTCATTTTAGTTCAATTAATCTACCTTCCTGTCAGCTCTCTATCCTGAATGGAATCTAAATGATTCAAACTCAGGTCCTAAGCAGCCAATTTCATTCAATATGCTAGGAGTTTATGTGCTTGTAGCAAGAAAATACTAGCCTGAACTCAAAACTGTTGATTGCTGGGAATATTTTCTAAGGATCATGATGACAATAATGCAAATCTATTTAATAAAAACTTGTAGTACTGTTATTGCCCACAAAAAGCATCAAAGTAGATTCTTCCAGTTAAAAAATATATATGTATATGCTTATATATTGTTATATACATATACAATTACTTGTGTGTGCATGTGCGTGTGTGTCTATGATTAAAAGATTTCTTGTACACAGGCATGTGTCCAGGATTATGTCCCATAAATATTGGAGCTTTGCAATTTTTTTTTNTTTTTTTTTTTTTTTTTTTTTTTTTTTTTTTTTGTGGGGCAAAGCAAAATGATTTGCTCTACCACAGTGAAATCATCTTCCTGCAGGTACTCAGAAAAGAGCTGTATGAGTTCTTTAAATAACTTTTAAAATCTAAGGATGTCCATAAATCATCTGCAGGAACAGGGTCTTATTCTATACATCCATAGAGAGCAAATAAAAATTTTAAACTTTTAAGGTTCTAAGGAAAAATATAGGCTGGAGATTTTATTCCTTCTGTGTGATTATGCATTTTGGCAAACGAAAGAAGGACTTGCTGTTGTTGTCTTCATGCTTTTGAAATATTTTGGAGGTATGAAGAAGATAGTATRTAGACATCTTGCTGGTCGACAATGATAATTGCATGAAGGTTGTCTTGTGCATTCTTTATTAACACAGATTAAAGTATTAGGAGTGAAGAGCAGGTGATTTTCCTGATCCATGGCTCACCTTTAGACCTGAAACTGGATAAAAAAAAACTTKAAATGATGAATGTAGGGAGTCTGACATATGAATCATAGAGATTAGAAGGAGCTCTAAAATATCATTTTTATTTTTGCTAACAGAGATAGAAGAAAATGCCAAATATGCTCTGCTATTCACTTTGAAGCCAAAAGAAGAATTTGGAGTTTACTGACAAAGCACTGCAATAGTTGAGAGTTTGTTTTGGAGGTCTCTTTGGTGGGGTGGTGTGGATGGCTTAGCCGGTGTTAGTGCTGAAAGCTTCATGAGCTAATCAGAACAGGAATATTTCATTAGAAAGATGTACTGATGTCTTTATGGTCATTATTGAATATCAGTGTGATTCTTTATAGGACTTTAAAGAGTGTAATACTTGGGTGAGCTTGGTGATGGATAAAACCTGTGGGGAATGTGCCAGTTGAGTAGTGTGTAAAGTGGAGGGTGGAACATGAGACTTTTTATTGAAGGAGGAGGCAGAACTATGAGAATTGTAAGCTCAGTTAACGAATGCGCACAGAGACAATAAAAAACTGTTCAAGAAAAACATGTTTGTACTAGTTACTACTGACTGTTTCTGTTSCACGGTTTAATAATTTTGGAAACTAGAACCAACAAAAATAGGAGAAGAAGATCAGTAGAAAGGTTTTTAACATCTGTGTTAAACAGAGAATGAAAACATTAATTTACCTTTCACTGGAAAATATAATCCATGTGAAGTCTTTAGTTTTTTTCTCATTTCATTATGTGAAGCTGATATGGTATCTTTTCCATATAAACAGTGTGTTTTACCATTTTTAAGAAGGATTATTGCCATCATATCTACTTTTCATTAAATGTTTTTCCTAATCTCAGATAATGCTTATTTCTATTTTACCTGGGAAATCATGAAAATAATGAGATATTGCATTTTGATTATCAAATGCACTAATGTAATGATTAATTCCAAGTCTTTGTTTCAGTACATGATGTACTAGTAGCAGCATGCTTGGTAGAAAATTGAAGAATGTATGTGTTTAAGCATAAAAAAATCCAACTTAAGTCAGACCAGCAGTCTCAGTAGCCTGGTCAGATGTAGCGAGAGACTCCGGAGGAAAGCAGTGTTATAGTAGCTGATCTCACTCACAAATCATAGGTGGGTGAGCCCAAGGAATGAGTCAAGGGGTTATCTGCAACAGTAATACTTGATATGTAGAGGCAGGCAGCAAAAAAATGAAGAGCAATACAGTGGGAATTGGATGACTCAGGGGACTGATAATATGGCAGTTTCATCTATAATTAATTTTGATCTTTCCAGCTGAGTAATGAGTTGTTAGCATCTCATGACTTCTCAGTGCTGCATGTGAAATTAGTTGATTGGTTTATCCACTTCACTACTGGAGATTACCAACCTGAAATACAAGATGAAAGAGAAAGCTCTACTGCTTGGTTTCACAAGCAGCAAAAGCCACGAAGCATAGCATTTCAATCATCTGGTACCTTTGGAGCAAAGTAATGGTGCATTATAGGGAAATAAAAGGATTTTGGAATTTCCATTTTTGGTAAGTTTTCCAGAGTTAATTACCCATTTGGGAGAAGCTAGGATTCTTATCTCCTAAGTCTTGAATTTTAGGTACCTTGTTTTTAACTGCATTGTTTCTCCTGCTGGGTTGATGACAGGTTTCAACTTTGTTGTTTTATCCATTCCTTCATCTCTCTTTTCTTGTATTGTCCTAAAGTATAATTTAATGGTAGAATCATTGATGATTTCTTTATGCCAAAGGAGTCTCTTATTATTTGAAAACTGAGCCTTCAATGTTAAAACTGCAAGSTCACTTCCTTGATGAGGTTCCATTCTCAGAAAAGTGTTTTGATGAAAAGTTTGCTCTCAGTTTGTGAAGGACAGAAGCGGGATCATTCCCTCTGCTGAGCCCACCCAGATGGGCAGATTTGAGCAGGGACTTGCATTCTTCACAGTTTCACTTTTCAAAGCAGAATTTTGAGAACAAAACCTTAATAATCCTCTATTCCCAAATGAATAGCTTGTTTGAAGTTATACCACCAGTCTCTCTTGCTTCTGGTTTCTTCAACACTTTGTCAGAGTGACTGATTTGCATTCAAATTGTTCATTGTCTTTTGGGAGTGGATATTTTTTGCTCATGATTTTTAGAGTCATGAGTAGAAGAGATTGACTAAGTGGGGCCATAAGATTGGACATACAGTCATTTCCAAGTAGTGAGATGATAAATAACTGATGCTTTGTGTGCTTTACAGAAAACTAAAGTAGATATTTGAGTGCTGCCTGCATCCCTTCACCTCTTGTTTCTGTTTGTTTTCCTGTCTTGGCCTCATGGCTGGGATGGCAACTATGACCAGAGAAGGGTGATCTTAAGCTGCTTCAAACTTGACAAAACTTTAGTATGTCATGGGAAATCAGATTTGTTGACAGCTTTGCTGTTGGGAAGTACAGAATGAACAAGCTGTAGTGGGCTGGGATCAAACAAGATAAATGTTCTTCAGAAAGAAAATAACTCTTTCCAGTATCTTTAATAATAGGTCCAAAGAATTTTTTGAATTGGAAGATCATCTAGTTCAGTCTCCCTGCTATGGGCAGGGATTTCACCCATTTGATCAGGTTGCTGGGGGCCCCATCCACCCTGACCTAAAATACTTGCAGGGATGGGGCACACACAACTTGTCTGGGCAGCCTGTTCTAAGGTGATTGTGCTCTCAATTTTAATTATATGTTACTATAAGATCTTTATTAAATTACTGTTGGAATGAAAAGCTTTTCAAAATGTGAAGTTATTGTAAACA